AGAACTGAGGAGAAATTTCCTGACAATTAGAACGGTCAGAAGTTGTGAATGCCCCAACACTGGAAGTCTTTAAGAAGATGTTGGATAGCCATTTGTCTGAAATGGTATAGGGTTTCCTGCCTAGGCAGGAGGTTAGAAGACCTCCAAGATCCTTTACAACTCTGCTGTTGTAGTGTATAAAACAGACTTCATCCAGATTGCCCTATGTCATATTAACTATATTGTCTTGGTTTAGACACTATACTGTACACTGAAGAGAATAGTGAAATACTTTCCATTGTATTTCACTGTTTTATACAATACTGTACAGTTATGCAGCCTGCCTTTTTAAAACTAAAGCAGATGTCAGTTCCATTCACCCATGCACTTGTTGTATAACAGAGAAGCACTGTTGCCCCAAACATAATATGAATATTACAAGATGATCTCTACATTCTCTTCTTCACCCTTCAGTGCACATTGAAACTAATTATTCTCTCCTGTTTTCTATAGATGGGATCCACAGCGTTGCTGCCCAGTGCATGCTTCAGGTGACCATTATCACAGATGAGATGCTGACCAACAGTATCACTTTGCGACTGGAGAACATGTCCCAAGAACGCTTCCTTTCACCACTGCTGGCTCTCTTTCTTGAAGGAGTAGCAACTGTATTATCCGCTCCCCGTGATCATGTTGTTCTTTTCAACATCCAGAATGACACGGATGTTCAGGCTGCCCAAATCCTGAATGTTAGTCTGTCAGTACAATTGCCTGATAGAATCCACGGCAGCCATTACATTCCTTCAGAAGATCTCCAAGAACGACTGTACCTCAACCGGACACTCTTGACTGCTATTACGGAGCAGAAGGTCTTGCCTTTTGATGATAACATTTGTTTGCGGGAACCCTGTGAGAATTATATGCGCTGTGTCTCGGTGTTGAAGTTTGACAGCTCAGCACCCTTCATTTCCTCCAACACTATACTTTTCCGTCCTATCCACCCTGTCAACGGTCTGCGTTGCCGTTGCCCACTGGGTTTTACTGGTGATTATTGTGAAACTGAGATTGATCTTTGCTATTCCAATCCCTGTGGAAATAATGGCCATTGCCAAAGCCGGGAAGGAGGATATACTTGTGAGTGCCAAGAGGGCTACACTGGTAAGTATTGATTTGGGGGGAAATCAGCCAAGGGAGAAGATCCCTCAAAAGGGAGCCGCTTAGTAATCATTGGAAGCTGTTATCTTTGTTCTCTTGATAAACCCTAGTGCCAACATTCTACCTGCAATCATTGCAATCATTTTCTCCAAGAGTGTTTTTATTGTTCAAAATGACTTTTGTAATTAATTTATGCTTGTTAAGTAAGAGGGATTACAATGCTGAAAGATAGAGGCTTCAAACTTGGAAAGAGAAGATAGAAGGGTTATCAGCCCAACAGCCTATCTGAAACTTTCCCAGTAACATGGCCTAGGTAACCACAATTCCTATCATCTTTAGACAATGTCCATCACTAAGAAAAGGCCACTGGGTGCTGTTGAGATATAAGACTAACTGCCATAAGTTGCAGGATTGGTACTGTTGAAGACTTGTTGAAGTTGTTACCTAGAAGACACAAAATCACCCATTATTTCTATAAACGATTTCTTACAGCAGAAGGTTCGAGGGGCTACGAGTAAAGCTCAGAACATCTTGTGCTAGGAAGTCAGCTGTAGTCTATAAAAGCCTGAAAGATGGCCTTCTTTGAACTTTTATCCTAAGCTGCTAATCAAGTTTGTTTTAGGATTCTGAATCTGAGAAATATGAACAAATGTTCATGCAAGACATTTCTTTGGGTATAGGTGCCATGTGTAGTACTTCTGTTTTACACGTCTAGTGGGAAATATATACAGGTAGTCCTTGACTTACAAACATTTCATTTAGTAACCATTCAAAGTTAATACAGCACTGAAAAAATGACTTCTGACCAGGGGTGGGATTCAACTTTTTTTACTACCGGTTCTGTGGCCGGCGTGGCATGGCAGGGGAAGGATACTGTAAAATCTCCATTCCTCACCCCTCCAGGGGAAGGTTACTACAAAACCCCCATTTCTTCCCGGTTAGCTGGGACTCGGGAGGCAATAGCAATAGCAATAGCAA